TTTGTGGCCGCTGGTGGACAGCTAGTGAAAGCGGTGGAAAGGGGGGCGGAAAACCGCATCTGAATCCAGGTGCGGAGTAGGAACAGCCTGCATAGGTCCTCTTCCATCCTGCCCCGACGACGGCTGGCACCATCACCAGCCAGGAATCGGTTGGTGGTGCCGCGGGTGGGCAAAGGCAATGCAGCCCGCCTGCAGGGCGGCGCGGAGGGTGGCTCTGGTAGCGTGAAAGGGGTCTTTGTGCAGGACTCGGTGGAGTGAAGGGGTGGTGAGAGAGGCGAGAGCTGAGTGGGGACCTGGAGGCTGGTGTTCTGGGGCGCCGTTAGTCGCCACTCGTCAGCCGCACTAGAGAGATCCGGATAGTGCCGGCAGGGGGCGGTGTGGTGCTGCTGTAGCCATGGGGTGGAGGCCTCTGGGTTTGGTCTTTTTTTGACACTGGGGGGAGAGGGGATGGGGAGAGAGGGTGGCGGGTAGAGAAAGCAGAAAATTGAGGGATTTACCTCCCCGTACCATCCCCTAGGTGGCAGAGAGATCGCGCTGGCTAGAAGGTGAAGCCCCTCGCCTGGTGCTCACTCCGCTGTCGGGGTGCGGAGAAAGCGGCCCTCCAGGCGGAGCCTCCCTCCAGTCCCCGAGTACCACTACCCCCAACCTGGGGGAAAGAGGCGGGCGCCGCACTGCCCTCCCTCTGCGCCCCTGCCGCGTGTCTTGCGGCTTATTTTCCCAGCTGGCAAGCGTCGCGCTGCAGACAAGGGAATGCCTGTGGTGAGTTGTTTATTTTGTTGAAGTTTGCGGTGGGCCACGAGGACGTGGGGGGCGACCAGCAGGCAGCGGCCGGGACTGTTTTGTTTAGGTCTCCGTCCACCTGTGTGGTATAAATCAGCTAGCCTCAGGGCGGTGGGAGGCCAGAGTGAGAAAACTCAAGCTGCTCCAAAAGTCCCCCTTTTAGTCACTTGCAGATCAAGAACCACATTTGATTCTCCGCTCCTGGAATCGTCTAGATCCTAGCTTACACTACCTCCATGTCCCTGATCAGCGCTCCCAGAACCCTCTGTGGACAGGGCTGGCGCTCCTAAGGACAGTTAGCGCCCACGACCTGGGGAACAGATGGCCATGGAAGTCCCTACCTTTGAGGACAGGGGAGCTGAGGTTTTGATATGAGGGCGCTGGTGGAATTAGGCGGGAACTAGTTTCGGCTGCTTCTGGCACGACGTCCGTTCCGGGGTATCGGGTCTGCCCAGTGCTATAAACTGGGATCCGAGTTGGCCAGAGTTTCTCAGACTCGAGGCTGTGGGGAAGTCGGCGGATGGCTCCCGGGGGAACCCAGAGGAACCGCCAGGGCTGATGGCAGTCACGGCCGTGGCTGCGTTTGCCTGGAAGAAAAGCCTAAATACATTAGCGAGCTGGTAAAGCTTTTAAGGCCTTCTCCGGAGTGAGTGGCTGGCTAATGAGAGGTTAATTTTGTTTCGAAGGGAAGGCTGCGCTGGTTTCCTGAGATAAATGGACAGGAAACACATTACCTCCGCGCGCTGGCAAGCGGCTCCCAAATGCTTTTTGCACCTGCCGCTTTGAGCAGTGCGAGCCGCGGCGGAGCCCGCAGGGATCGCGGGGTCCCGGTGTGTACGCTCGGGTGATGAGCCTCACGCACATCCCAGGCCCTCTCCTTCCGGGGGCGCGGCGCTCACGCCGGGGTCTGGGGCTCTTCTCTCACACCCAGGTCCTGCGTGTTCCGGAGCAAGGCAGCCCCCTGATCCCGACGAACCCCCTCCAGGAGCGGAAGGGTTAAGAATGATGTAAGTACAATCCATGAGCTGCTTGCCGCTGGGCTGTCCGACTCTCGGGCTATTTCAGCTCTTGCTTTGCGTACACCGTGGACTGGGGAGCAGCCAGGGAGCCCTTACTCTAGAATGGGTTGTACAAATCGCAACCCCGGGTATGATTCCTGGCTCCTCTGCCCCAGTTAATCTAGATGTTTAGCAGACAGAAACCCTCGTGTTAGATTTCTGGAAATAGAGATATATTAACAGGGGGCAGGAAGAGAAACCGTATCTTGTTTAGAATTCTTAATGTTGCTAGCATGTGTTTTAATTCTATCCACTTGCACTGTTGGTTTGCTGAGTCCTCTAATTGTACTGTTCTGGCCTCATCTTTCCTTCTTGAAAACA